GCTTGTTAAAGCTTTGAAGAATTTTGTGGGAAGGGACAAAGAAAAAATGAAAAGAAATCAAATTCTAGGACATTATATGAAGGGACTAAAGATCAAGATGTTAAAAGTAAAAGGAAGGAATATAAAGTTTGTTTATTTATCAAGGTTTAGTTATCTCTGGTAACCCTTAATGGACTGATCAGGACTGAAATGACAAGAATTTGTTTATAAATAAGAGATGGGATATGGGAAGAAGAGATCATTTGTTGTACTTGAAGGGAAGGTGATAAGTTACTAAAATTGTTTATACCTGTTGTGATGAAGGGAAAAGTCACTTCTTTATATATTTCTTTTCTTTTTCTTTACTATCTTCTTATTTTTTCTTTCTTTTCTATTTTTCTATTTTTTCTTTTCTGCACTTTCGATTTTTCTTTCTATCCTTTTATTTTTTTAATTTCTTTTTTAGTTTTTATCTTTTTAATTGTAAAATTACTATAAAAAAGAGGAGGAAGTAAAATTGTAAGTTATGGTCACATGATGTTTCACTTAACGACCATGGTTATTCACTTAATGTCCAAAAGAGAAGTGAAGTGAAGTCATGCCCATCGCAGTCATATGATTTTCCACTTAGCAATTGTGGTGCTTAGCAACCAAGTTGCCAGTCCCAATTGTGGTCACTAAGCAAGGACTATCTTTATCTTTTTCAAGAGTTAAAAGTTTTAGTGTAATCTCTTGCTTTGTTAATTATTTGTGGAAAAATTGGTCACTGTCAGGAGCTGCCAGGCCCAGGATTAAGAACTTTATAATCTCTATGTATCTCCCTTATGTAGTAGATCAAAAAATCAAGCATTATTTGCTGCAGCAGCAGCACCTACAGCTCAACCATTACAGCATCTGGCCTAGAGAAATTCATGTAACACTGTCTCTCCTTCTCATCCTATACTTATGTATTTAGAATCAAGCTCCAGAGGTCTCATTACGTTTACATAGGTGAAGTATTTTAATGGTAAATCTACATTAAATCCATACAGATTATACCTTGACAAAAAATAAAATAAATGTGTTTTTTACATAACAGTATCATGCAGTCAGCTTTACAAATAAGTTCATAACAGATAAGTTCAATAAAATGACCACAAAGAAACCAAAAACCCACAACTGCTAAACCTTTGCTGGAAGAAGACTAAATGCAATGTTGCTTTTAATGTGCCTTGGGTCAACATGATTTCTACTTGAGGAGAAAGCAAACTCTATCCATTTTGAAGAGAAATGGTATATTTGAGATTCCTGTTTCTTCCAACTATCCAGATAGGTGACAGGATCAACATCCTTGGCTAATCTTTATTCTTACTGTTATTGGTTGTTTTATTGAGTTTTATCTGTTGTGAGATGGGCATTTATTTTAAATGATTAAAATAAATAAAATAAATAACACTAGATCTTGAAAAATTAAGACCAGCAGAAAATTCCAGAGCTGTAATTAAATTGGGATGGGGGAGGGGAGGCAAATGAAGGCAAATCACAGCCATGGCCATGAAGTCACGAACAGGAGCTGAGCTTTGACTCAAATGAGTTTTTAGTTTATTCCCTTACTGCAGAAGACTACACAATTTGGCTCAGATGACATTTAATGAACCAGCAAAATTACTCACCAACCTTATTAATATAAACACTAAAATGATATTTTATTTTTGTTCTCTCCTAGGCCAAGTCTCCTGTGCATCAATCATAACCACAGCTGGAGAGGCAAGCATCCTCTTTGCCCCTAGTTGGTAGGTGCAATCTTGTAAACCACTTTGGTAAGATTATAATCCGGAAACATGGAATATAAATAATATTATATAACTGTAATAAATAACATCAACAACACCTACTACAATTCTGCATTATGTTCTCAACCTCCATCTGACAGCTGACTTTGAACTGCAGATCTCATGGCACAATACTGGTATTACTTAACTTAAGATGGGGCAATATATTTTCAAGGTCAGAATTACAATTTTATCACGTAGTAAAATGTAAGGAAAGGTATTAAGGATCGTGCGTTTGAGTGTGTGGGGGGGGGGGTGCGTAATGAACACCTAGAGCTATTTCTCTAGGGCAGAAGGCGGTGGATTATCGCTTCCTCACTAGCAAGATACATTCTCAGGACCAGGCAGCCGACGGGGGACTTACTGGTGTCCAGAGCAACCTTCAGCATCGACTGGCACCTATGCTGGGAACCAAACAAGCCGGAGACTTTTCCCTTCAGCGACGGCTTCTTCCCCTGGCCGAGAGTTCGATCGGGAAACCGGCTGTAGCCGAAGTCCTCCTCCTGCTCTTCGCCACAGCCGCGACTCTCCGGCTGCGGAGTCTGCTCAGATGTCATCGGGGCTTCCCTCTCGCACATTCAAGCCCAGCCGACCCAGCAGAGATCGCCGTTCACATGGCCTCGCCGGCCACCGTACCCGTCCCGCGAAGCCAGAGGCAAAGGCCATCTTCCGCTGAAACCATAGAGATATGCTGGCGCGTTTCCTGCTGCCAATCTAGGACGATACTTCGTACGTGAGCTAAGGTGGGATGGGCCCCATAGGACTATGTTTTATGCCTCTTTTCCAAATCATATAGACACAAATAAATCATAACTCCTCTGCCTTGGCGACTCTCTAACTTCTTTATCTATGAAGCGGGGTATTGAGAGTGAGAGCGCGTTGCGGTGCGTGACTACTGTGTGTGGAGAAGTAAACTACACGATAGTCGTGCTCCACAACGCGCATGTGGGTTTGGGGGGGGGGCGCTGTCGACGCTCTGTCTCTCCCTCTCTTTCTACCTATCTTGGACCATAGGAGTTGAAAGTGCTTTCTGCTAGAGAGACTTCCTTGGCGACGCATCTCCCCGCGCTTTGCGCGCTGGGTGTTGTGGGAAAGGAAAGCGAGACGGGCCTCGGAGGGCAGCTAAAGAGCGAGAGAGATTCGCAGTTGCGCAGGTTGGGGCCGCTTCGCTACCGTTACTGGGCGGGGCTGGGGAAGAAAGCAAAGGCCCTCAGAGGTTGGGCAGATGGCCCCTTTCTTGGGTGCTTCTGAAAAGCCGGGGTCCCTTGCGGAACCGGCGGGCCTGTCCTCCCTTCGTTTTGGAGGGCGATGCTCAGCATTCCCAGGACGCGCCAAATTGGGAGAATAGTTCTCTTGCGCTGGGGGAATAACACATAAGGGAGGGATCTTGCTTTCCCCTGTACCTTCATGCCCATCCACAAATCTCCTCTTCTTGCGTGTTTCTTTTCACTTTTCCTTTAAAAAGGAAAGTTCTGCGAAATTCGCGGGTTTTATGAGGCCACAGAATGTGAATGAAGCTGCTATGCTTGTACCAAGGATTGACTTGGATTTAAGAGCAAGCTGAGCCTGTGGGTTTGTTCTAATTATTTCCTATTTGCGTGAAAAGCAAAAAAGTGGCTTAGTTATTCTACATAGTAAAAAAAAATAATAATAAATTGTAAGGGTATTTGCATGGGCAGCATTCATGCTGCTCCTGGTTTGGTCCCTGCCAGAAGGACTGATGCATTTCCAGGTGAACTGGACATCTGGTCAACTGTGGTAGAACAGTTGGCGGAGGAAGTCTGCAAAGCTTTGGGTCGGCTGTTTCTCTTGGCAGGACCTCACTTTCTAATACCAGGATTCCTCATAAAATGCTAAGCTGTTCCATCACAGCAGATTTTAATTGATCCAGAGGGAAAATGCAATGGCAGCTGTCCTTCAAAGAGGTTTTGAACCTGGATGATTGTTTGCTTGTGTTATTTTTACTAATAAAGTGTTATTGTAATAATCACTGGTAAGCTGATTTTTCCACAGTAAGTAAATGTGATTTGCATAGTGCTATGCCAGAAAGCATAAATGTGTTTCTTTTTTCAAGTTAGAATTTGCTTGTGCTTGTTACAGACTTGCCTGTTTTCCAACACATCCATTCATCAGATGACTTCACCAAATAAAGCAATTGAGTTACAGTTGCAAATACGACAAAATGCTGAGGAACTTCAAGATTTTGTGAAAGATTTAGAATGCTGGGAGAAGGATATTAAAGAAAAAGATCATGATTTAAGGTGTCAGAGTGGAATTGCAGAAAAAGTAAGATCGGTGCTTTGATAATAGGATGAATAGAGACACCTTAAAATGGAAATATGTTCTGTTAACTAGATCTGCTTTCAAATAGAATTATAAATCACATATATAATTGATTTAGGCTTCAATTATATCCCCTCTGTGCCAGAGTCCTAGGATCTATGAATAGGTTCTTGCTATAGGTATAAAAAGAATCTCAGAAAAGAAAATCAAAAACATATTTCTTTCAAAACCCTGTGGAAGTAGTTATAATCCTTCCTCGCTGTCTCTGAATTGAGAAAGGGAGAATTAGACAAGACTAGGGAGGGGTGGAACAGGGGAAGTTTTAGATCCAAAAGTATGTCTCTACATCTTAGATAAGTCCTTCAACTAGTCTAGAGTATTTCTACTTGTCACAGTTGAAGGAGGAAAAAAAAAACTTTAAAAGTTTTAAAGTACTTTAAAAGTATGTGGGAAGCAAAACTTCTGTCAGGCCAGCATTCAGATTGTCAGTGTTTCAGGTCAAGGAAGTAGAATCACCATATTAGTTCTACCATTTTGAATTAACCCATTCGTTTGGGAGGTTCTATTGAAGTGCTTGGAAGTGCTTTATTGTAGGTGGATATATTCATCCCCAGTTGTTATTTTGGACCCTTTTCTTCTAGAAAAAAGCCAGCATTGATTTTGCACTTACATTCCTGTTTTATGAATGGATATCATATCTTAATTATCAGAAGTTTTCTGAAAGTATACTGCTATATTTTCTGTTATTAGGATTTACCCCCAATTCGGAATGAAGCTTACAAAAAAAGGAAGAGCAAAGTTAAAACTGTCTCAAAAAAAACAACTGAAGAAAACAAAAAGAACAAGATAAAATCTTATGATTATGAGGCTTGGGGAAAGCTGGATGTGGTGGGTAAAATATGTTTTATTAAATATGTTTATCAAAATGCTAGGCAAAATTGTAGGATTCTATTTTGTGAAATTTATTCACATTGTAAATTATCAGCTTTTATGTTGTAAACATACTTATTTTATAAAAAGTATAGATGACAATAATATGCAGTGTGCGTTCATTTTGTTTTAATGCTCAAACCTTACTTTAAGGTTTGGGAGATAATTTTATTTATATCTGTTGCAGATTACCTTGATGCTTGACCTTAATGAAAAGACATTATATAAACCCAACAATAACATAATATATAATATATAATAATATATAATATAATTTAATATAAAAATGCTAGACGTATGAAGTTTGTGACTATACTTTTTTTCTAGAAATTATGAGGAATTTTTTTTCCTTTATTAGGCAGGAGTTTGATGGAATAGTTAGAAATGGTATTGGAAGGCTATGATTCTGCCAGTGATGCAGATATTTTTTTATATATATGCAGGGTTCTCTTTGTATATCATATATTCATTTATATTACTTCCTTGTTATATTATTTACTCATTCTTTAAATTTGCTTTCTTTTGCCTTCACAAGTGCCTTTAAATATGTCCTTTCAGGATAAGATACTTGAAGAACTTGATAAGGAAGATACCACTCATGACTCAGTGTCAGATTCTGAAGAAGATGGAATTCGCATAGATACAGAAAAAGCTCTTGCTGAGAAAGAAAAGGTTATTTTAATTTTTTAATAGACCCACAGTTCTTTCTTCTAATGCTCACTAGGGAGCACGATAAATTAACCTACATAAAAATGTGAATTCTCACGCTCTATGATTGAGAAGGATTTCAAGTTTTTATGCTGATTCAATAAGGTGAAACTTTTGAAACCAAGTCTTGGTTTTAGTAAAACCAAGAATATGCTTTACTGTTCTTTAGTTTTCCCTAATACTTTTATCCATATTGTAATTTGATTGTCTGTGTCTATGGTTATATTGAACATCTTATGATTTTTTCAAAATTGTCTATAATATGTAGTGTTCTAGATCAATTTACAAGGCAGTTTTCAAGAAAAACTGTGTTTAGAATATTGTACAATGCAATAGTCACCATGATTTAATATCCCTATACATCCATGTGTTGTTTTTTCTACTATGGCTTTTGTAGATCCTGAAATTTATTTACTTGAAATTATAAAAAACAAGTCCTTCTTGGAACTATGTAGGTGATTATCAAAAATGGTGGAGATGTCTTCATTGCCACCTGATCTGCTAGAATAATGTCTGAAAACTAATATGCATTCATATGCATCTTAATGTTTAAAAAAGAAAGAGTTGGGAGCTGATAGATTATGAAATAGTCTATCTGTTCCAAATGGCATTCTGTCTTTTTCCAATTTTGTCTCCAGTCCTCTTTATTTTATCTTTAAAACAGTCCCATGAGTTAGGTTACAGTGAGAGAGTAACAGACCAACGATTTTTAGTGAGCATTATTCTTTCTTTTCTAAAGAAATCTGTCTGTCTGTCCTCTATTCATTTATTCAATAATTCAGTTTACAATATTTGGATACCACTAACTGAAGATAAGTGTTCTTAAAGTGGTTCAGATGAAATGTCATAAAATTAGATTTATAGGCACAAATTGCCATCTCAGTTATTATAATAATGAGGGGAATATAACATCATTTTTATGTTTATTTAACAGCAAGATTTTGTAGAGCATGGAATATTGTGGCTGAATTGGACTCTTCTATTAAATTAAATGTTAAGGATTTCATTTGATTAGCACTTGAACATAATTCTGTTGATTTGAAAAACGGACAAGTATTGTTTCAAAAAGATGAGAGAAGAATAAAATTAAGAGTTTGCAATATATTCATCTTAGCGCCTATCACATTTGTTCTAATAGGGCAATACTTATTTTAAACAAGGAAATTATGATGCTGCAGTAGAATGCTACACAAAAGGAATGAATGCAGATCCTTACAATCCAGCTTTGCCTACAAATAGGGCTTCTGCTTTTTTTCGACTGAAAAAGTAAGAGTTTGTTGAATTCCTTCATATTTCACTTCAAATATAATTAATTGCTAATCCTGTGTTGATTTTGCCTGCTAATGGATCATTTTAAACACTTCACAGTCTTTAGCATCATATCCTTAGATCTTTTCCAAAAGAATAGCATCACTTCTATAACTGATACTGGTGTTTGATAAAGTAATTCCTGATTTTTCAAACTCACTCTGACATTTATGATTGTACAGATTATGTAATAATCAGCATGAGATTGGAATGAAAAATGGTAAAGTTGCTGATTGGGAACTACAAGGGCCACAGTTTACCCATGGGCCATAGACAGCCCTCCAAGCCATTTTCTGGAGCACACGGTAATACTTTTCAGTAAGCCCCGTGGGGCATACATCTATTGGTTGGTGAGGACTGTTCCAAAGCACTCAGCTTTTCTTCCTGCCCATTTCAGTAAAGTGAGAGTAAACTAAACAGATGAGAGATTGCTGGCAACCTAGAATAAAAAACACCTCACTCCCAGACATACCAGGATGGCAGTTGCCAGAAGTAGGGCAACCCTTTGCCAATCTTGCCAGGCAGTGTAGATCCTCCCTTAAGCTGAGAAGAAATAGCTCCACGTCCAGGCAGGACAGGCTGAAGAATGGCAGCATTTCTAGTCCCATGCTGAGGTGCCATGACAGCTGGATTCTGATTTATAATGGATTCTCTTTCTTTTACGTATATTTAATTTGGCATTTTCTAGAATGTGCTTAATAAGGAAAAGGTACATTTTTAAAAACCATCATTAAAGGCACTGATACCTACAGTGCATTCAGAAAGTATTCAGACCCCCTTCACTTTTTTCAGTTTTGTTATGTCGCAGCCTAATACTACAATTGTTCAAATTCATTTTTTTCTCATTAATCTACACTCAGTACCCCATAATGACAAAGTGAAAACAGAATTTTAGAAATACCTGTAAATTTATTAAAAAGTGAATATCACATGTACTTAAGTATTCAGACCGTTTTGTTATGTCGCAGCCTAATACTACAATTGTTCAAATTCATTTTTTTCTCATTAATCTACACTCAGTACCCCATAATGACAAAGTGAAAACAGAATTTTAGAAATACCTGTAAATTTATTAAAAAGTGAATATCACATGTACTTAAGTATTCAGACCCTTTACTCAGTACTTTGTTGAAGCACCTTTGGCAGCAGTTACAGCCTCGAGTCTTTTTCGGTATGATGTGACAAGCTTTGCCCACCTAGATTGGGGGATTTTCTGCCATTCTTCTTTGCAAATCCTCTTAAGCTCAGTCAGGTTCA